ATCAGGGATTCCCTTAAAGTCAGGTCATTTACTAAAGCCTACAACCTCTAATCCATTCCTCTAATCCAGAGACCAGCAAACTTTGTAAAAGACTAGATAAGTAATTATCTTTAAGCTTTTCAGGCCAGATGGTCTCTACTAAAACAGCTTTGCCTGTGCAGAATGGAGAGAGTGTGGAAGCAAATGAGCCTGGCTGCCTCCAGTTAAAAACAAGAATGGGTAGCGAGCCAGATTTGATTCCGGGTTATAATTTTCTGACCCCCATTTTAGTCTATTACTTTTATTTTATTCTGAAGATTTTCAAATAGAAAATACAATGCAGTATCATTTATATTTCATAGTTCCCAACATTTTGTCGTATTTATTTCATCTGTTTAATTGATGAATGACTGTATGGAACTTAAGTCATTATAAGAGTTTATCCCTTCATAATTAAGCACATATGTGTATCTGTGCTATAATTATAAGAGAGATGATAGATAGATAGATGATAGATAGACAGATGATAGATAGATGCACAATATGACATAACCTAGCAAATCCTATACTAATTCTCAGTAGTTCCTATTTAAAGTTCCCTCTGATGTCCCACGTACTTCCAAAGCTGTTTTGCTGAAATCAGAAATCCAGTTAAGTATAAAACATCATTTGTTTGCTGCATATGAAAGGAGCATTTTCATCTAGTATTTTCTCACAGACCTTTTTGTGTATGATACTGACTTATTAAGGAATTATTTAATTTTGAGCACTATAAAACCTACCTCTCAGGAACATTAATACAGATATTAATAATAAAACAAATTTTGTAGGCTGGAGAGATTGTTGGGAGGGTAAAGCATTTACTGCACAAGCAGAGAGTAAACGTGCAGAACGTAGATGAAAGCATGGCAGCCTGCTTGGAATCCCAGCACATGGGAATGGGAGATGGGGATGTGGGATCCCTGGAGCAAGCTAGCCAGTCTAGCTGAGGGGGCAAGCTTTGCCCTTTCTGCAATCAAGAAAGACACCACACATCAAGGTCAGGGCTCCACATTCATGTGCACATACACACATACATCCATACACATGTGAACACACATACACAAAAAAATAAAATTTTGCTTAGCTTATTCTTTTTAAAAATAGTTTATTACTTATATTTTATGTGAATGAGTGTATTGCCTGCATGTAGTGTAAGTGCACCCATGTCGTGAAAGGCTCGTGGAGGTCAGAGAAGGGCATTGGATCCCCTGGAGCTGTTAGCTACCATGTGGGTGCTGGGAACTGAACCTAAGCCCTCTGAAAGAGCAGCCAGTGCTCTTCAAGGCTGACGCACTCTCCTGCCCCGTTTAACTTACTCTTAATACGTTCGCCTTTACCTCCATTTCATCTCCATTTTTTTTAAAGATCTACTTTTGTCCTCATCTATTATTTATTTATTTATTTAGCCATGGTCCCATGTAGCCTAGGCTGGCCTCAAACTCACTATGTAGCTGAAAATGACCTTGCACTTCTGATCCCCCTGCCTCAGTCTCCTGCGTGCTAGGACTGCAGGCCCGTGCCACCACAGCCGGCTTATGCAGTACTGGGGACTGAACTCCCATCTCTTCTTTAAGAAAACGTGCAGGGTTGAATAGGATGATTTTGACACATACTGAACCTGAAAGCTCGTGTATGTCACAAAAGCCTATTCTGAAAGGTTCTTTAAAATGAGTCCTCATTGGTGGCACTGTGGAAAAGGGGTTGGATTAACAGTGAATTTCATTAATTATACTAAGAAAACTGTGTTTCAATAAAATCTATTATCTTTAAAGAGATTGATTTTATCTTTCAAGAAAGAGAGTCTCCCAGCATCTGAACAAATACAGGAATATAGTGCCTTTGGGGTGACATTTGGGAGTTTGCAATATTTTATCAAAAAGATGAAATATTTTCCCCCCAAATTTTAGTTCCTAAGAGAAACTTGGTCAGCTCACTAGGGAAATTCCACCACAGAAATCCCCTCCCCCCATTTCATAAAATCCCCCTAAATTTTATAAAAATCTCTCATGAAATGAGGAGTGATACACATCCCAACCAGTGCGGGCCAGGTAGGTGTGTGCATGGAGACCAGCCAGGACTGAGACGATGTGGGTAAGGAAGTGAAGAGCTTGTGTAGGGCTTTAAAGCATCCTAGCTTCTTCACAGCAGGAAAGAGGAGTAGTAAGGGGCCGGGAAAGGGGTCTGGGCCCAAGATAATGGGATAACTGAAAGGTGAGTCAAAGTAACAAGGCATGGTGGTAGACATCTATAACCCCAGCACTAGGAAAGTTGTACAAGAAGATCCCAAGTTCAAGGCCAGCACTGGCTGAGATGATGATACCCTGTCTAGGTGCTAACTGGAAGCCAGGCATGATGGCACACATCTTTAATCAGAGCACTCAGGAGGCAGAGGCAGGAGGATCCCTGTGAGGTTGGTCTACATAGCAAATTCCTGGGGCAACAGGGAGACCCTGTCTCAAAACCCACAAATAAACACAAACAAACAAAAGAAGTGCTAATTTGAAACTGGAACAAAAGTAGTTTCCCCAGTTATTAAAAGTAAGGGGATGGATTTAATTAAAGGAAGTTTAGGTTTTTGCACTTTGGATGAAGGATGATGAGTTTTTAAAGTTGGAAGGAACTTAGTGAGACTTTGAGTAAGATAGGATGAAGAATGGCTTCATCAACATGCTTTTTAAATTTGCATTAACTTAAAGTTAAAAATGCTGGACTGAAGAGATGGCTCAGTAGGTAAAAGCAGACTTGCTGTGTAGGCACCTGGGTCCAGATCTCCAGCACCTACCAGCATAGAAAAGCTGGGTGTGGCCCCGCATGCCTGTAACCCCAGCTCTGTCCATGGCAGAGGCAGGAGGATCACCGGGGTTTGCTGGCATCCAGCCTGGCCAACAGTGAGCTCCAGGTTTAGTGAGAGACTGCATCTCAAGAGAATAAGGTGAGGAGCAACAGAAGCGAATACTCAGCGTCCTCCTTGCCCGTGTACAGGTGAATGCAAACGTAGAGACGGGTACACACACACTTACATGAACCTCACACTAAATAGATAGGTAAATAGCAGCTCCTTGATCACAGTGGCCCTGTTTCCATTGCTCTGTAGTCACAGATAACCAAGGACCTCCATACTGGACAGCACAGAGAACCTTCCAGCACTGCAGAAACTTCTATTGGGCAGCACTGAAAGAGGAAAGGACGACGGAAGAGGCCACAGAGAGGGAACAATGACTCTGAATGCCCTCTCTCACTTTGCTTGATGTAGCCAGCTCTATCAAGACTGCCACTGCCCTTCAAGATTGGGGCTCTGCCTCACCTCCTTTCCAGAAAGCTGCTGGAGAGGTTGTTGCCCTCCTAACCGTCTGGTTGAATGGGATTGTTGGAGCAGGGCCTTGAGTTAGGGTGGAGCCAGGGTTGGGCTCAGGGAAAGATAATTCAATGGATGAAGAGGGCCCATACACACCCTGGCGTGGAGCCCAGAATCCCAGGTGGATAAAACATTCCATTGTCACTGACAGGTCCTCCTGCCTCTGGAGCCCAGTGAGTGTTCTGTCATCCCTGGTCAGATGATCCTCCTGCTCAGACTGTCACAGCTCTACACTGACATTCTGTTTTACCAGTGAGAAATATGGTCAGCACCCCCTTTTAGTTCGTTTATTCACACCAACCAATTCCTATGGTTAGCCATCAAAGCGAGGGGGAATTCTCCTTCCCTCTGGGGTCTAGGATGAGTCAGGAGACAGTTCAAACCACTGTCCAGTAGCCAAGGCCACACACCTGTAGCAGACTGACCCTCAGATCCTTCCTTTTCTGGGACATGTCACACAGTCTCTGACCATAATTCTCATGTCATCACAGACACAATATTTGCACGAGGCATTGCCAGGGGAAGGGAAGATATCCCAGAGCTGTTCGAATGCTGCCCTGTGTGGCCTGTTTGCGTTTGCTCTGGCAGACCTCAGGCCCATGCAGCGCTGCGTGTGTAGGCAGCGTCCCACCTGCGTCCTAATTGGCTCGCTGTGCAGTTCTTGGCTCCCTGCTTGGGAATCGTCACTGACTTAACCCACCTCACCTGGAGCGCAGCCTGCTGCGTTCCCACGAGTGTCTCAGGCACTGAACTTCGCTTTAAAAACTCTCAACAGGATTTTCATTGGGGGTTGTCTTTGTACTTTGAATCTACCTAAGCGATATTTTAAAGTTTATTTAACTGCATTTGAAAAGGACAGACTCTTAAAAGAAGGAAAATTAAATGGAGAGAGAAAATATCCAAACTGAGAAAATGAAGGCCTCCCTGGACTCAGGCGTGTTATTTAAAGGAAATTAGGAGTTACTAGAGGATGAATGATTTTAAGTGTTTGAATTAACGCTTTAAAAAATAAATTCTCACTCATCATTAGCAATTTTTCTATTAACAGCTTAGGAAATACCTGCATCTTTCCTAACATCTACTAAAATGGAAAGCTTATAATTTTGTAGTGTGACCTGAGGGTTTAGCTCTGAACATGGACTGCATATTCCTATGAATGATGTGAACACCCCCAAATACACTAGCTTTATTGATAGGAGGCGAAACTAAGCAACTTGTCAGTGGCTGAGGAGCCCTCAACCGGAGTAAAAGCCCCTTGCCTTGGCAACAGGACTGCCTGTCACTGAGACAGGCTTCAGGAGAGGAGAGACTCAACCTTGTCCCATAGAGAGCAGCTTTTCAGCTGGAAGAAGGGTGTGTCCCTAAGCTTTTACCTGGGAGCACTGATGATCTTGTCAAGCATTTCAGTGAGACCAGCCCAACTTTTTAGGGTGGGGATCCAGACTGGTTATACGTACCTTCCGTCCCGCTCCCAGAGGAAGGCAGAAACACCTCAAAGCCTGCATGTAAGAACATCTACTGGGAAATTATTTTAATCAGACAGCAGCTGAGTGGGAGAAAGAAAAAGAACAGAGCACAAACAAAACTCCCTTGGTCGTGGATGTAACCGAAGCCGGCTGCGGCGATGGACTGGCACTCCTTCAGGGCGGCTGCGCTGCTGTTCATTTTCCTGGTGAGTGGAATCTGCCAGAGCAGCCCTGCATCCCATCCTCGTCTTAACTGAGCAAGGACTTTTAGAAAATGTTATTTGCGGGGACTTCCATGCTAAACCCATTAAAAGTTTATGTTAATGACAAGGTGATTTTTACGAACTAGGTTTTTAAGTAGTGTTTCTCTCTTTAATTGAGGACTCCAAATCATAGTAATGCCCCAGCGTCCACTCACCATAACAACGTCTCTGACATCCAGGATACTGCCCAGTCACACTGGGAAAATACTGAACCCAGGAAACTCCTATTGATGCTTACTTTGTTTATCCAAATTTTCATTGGCCTGGTGGAGCTTTTCTATTAAATATTCCAGGTGTGTCTGAGTTTTCCATCTAAACATTTTGGGTATTTTTGTTGACAAAGTGACATTTTTAAGGACACAAAAGGATTTGTGTACACTAAAGTCACAAGTGTCTGACTGACCTCATAATCCAAGCAATCTCCTTGGTTCCAGATTTTGTCAGACTCCATCCTGCTCATACCAAACCCCTGTGCTGTTGAGGAGTTGAAGGAAAACAACACTGCTAATTTTTACAAAAGGGAACTCTAGGAGATTTATCAATGATACAACAGCTGGGGGAATGGCTATAATTAAGTAGGAAGTGTAATTACTGCTACCCTGTTCTTATGAACTGGAAAGTCAATGAGAGATGTGAGACAGTGGTAAATATGATGGTCAGAAAATATGGTAAAGTGATGTGGTGTTGCCCCCACAGGTCATTCATTTCTCTTGTTAGAGGCAATAACTGTGACAATCACAAAGCCAATAGATTGGTTTCGCATTCCATAAAAAATTTCAAACTCATAGCTTTTCTCACAGTAGCATAAATGTAATCTCAAAAGGCAGGTGCCAGGGAACTCACCCTCCAGCTTTGGCAGGACACAGCCTTATTTGTTTCTACTTGCTTAATTTTTGAACTGGAATGTTGGGTTTGTATTCTAACAAGTTAGGTCTTTGATTTACCGGCTGCTAGCTAGCAGGCTGAATTCATTTTACTTACTAAGAGAGATCACAGGACTAGGGATGTAGCTCAGTGGTGGGGTGCTTGCCTAGCAAGCATAAGGTCCTGAGTTCTATGCCAGAAGTGAGCAGTAAAAGGTCAGGGGATCCTCGTCAGTAGTGTTTAGTTAAAAATTAGTCCCAAGAAGCTAATAGCTTTAGTTCTAGGCTGCCCTGTAGATGTGACTCTTATTCCATGAACTTTTCAATGGCTTTTTATGCTCAGTTGTTGTCACAACCTGGGATACGGTGAGCATCGATGAATATTGTACAGTGTCATTTGGCTGTAGGAATATCTGTCCTGCTCAATAATCAAATACTTTAATTTTAAACTTCATATAAAGTTGACTTATTAAAGTTTATTGTGTAATTTCAATTCATTCATTCTACCTCAACATTTATGTGCTTTTATCAAATTTATATTGCTTCTCAACTTCTGTGCTTATTTCTAATTAAGTGTATCTTATGAAATTCCTTTAAATAACCACTTCTTAATTAGCCTTTAATTAGCCATTTTTCAAAAAAAATATCATTTGATCAAAATCATGTGTCTTCATGGAACTTTCTATTTTTGGAGAGAGATTTCTGGGACTTTGGACTTTATAAGTTTTGGTATATTTTGTCTGCTGGATTAACTTTGGAAAGAAACAAGGTGTGTGACCATATTTTACTGTGAAATCTAGTGCAAGGTTTTCATATGCCTTGGAATACTTATTTCTTTAGGAACTTTTACTATAATGAATTTACGTGTTTTGTTTTCAGATTAATACATTTTATAAAATATTTCACTTTCTAAGGCTCTGAATATCCTAATTTTACTGCTTAGTGATTCATGTCCAATTTAGAAAGTCCTTTACTCACCTGTGTCTTGTAGGGAACTACCTATGTATTCTAACAGTCTCGGTGTTTCAGTATTCACATGGAGCTCTTCGGTTCATTTGGAGTTGACTTTTGCACAGGGTCTAATTTCATTCTTCTGCAAGTTTACTGGATGATTTTGGTAATTTTCCTTTAAAGTTATTCAGTCTGTTTTTCCTTTCAATATATTTGCCTTAAAGACAGTGACCACTATAATAAGTAATTCTGCTCTCCTGTCTCTTACCCTCCCCGTGCGTGTCTGTCTTTCCCAAAGGAAAAGGGGAGACAAATGGCACAAAGTCTTTATATTCTTCTCTGTTCAAAGGCAATAAAGGAAAACCCATGTTCGGAGCACATTTGAAAAATGGAGATCTTGAAGACATTTAAACTGATAATATTCTCACACAAAGCTATCCAGTGGTGAGCTGGGCCATGCTATGTTTGTGACATATCACATTATCTGCTCAATGTGTATGAAAGTTAAGTGCTTTTAAAACTAGTGAGTTAGATCAGAGAGAGCAGAGCAGAGGAATACTCCTAAGGGGCTCAGACTGTTGCCTGACCTTTCCACTGTTCAGATAGATCTGGATAGATGGTGGCTCACACCTGATACTGCACTGCTAGTCAAGGGCATGAACTGATTCCTCCTCCTCCCTCTCCCTCTCCCTCTCCTCCTCCTCCTCCCTTCTCCTCCTCCCTCCTCCCTCTTCCCTCCTCCTCCTCCCTCCTCCCTCCTCCCTCCTCCCTCTCCCTCTCCCTCTCCCTCATGAGATCAGTATATGGAGGGAGGAGTTATAGGTTCTTTCTGCCAGAGAACAATATTACTTGTGCATCAAACAAAAGACAATGTGTGCAGATGGCCATGACGATTGTAAAATATGTAACACGGGCCCTGTGAGAAATCAAAGCAAAACTAGCAGGATTTCTAGAATGCTACTAATTTCTTAAAATACACGTGCAGCCGGTTGTGGTGGTACACACTGAGAGGATGTGCTAAAGAGGTAGGGGCAGGAGAATCACAGGTTTGAGACTAGCCTGGGATATACATTTTTAGGGGCTGGGGAGATGACTCATTGGTTAAGAGCACTGGATGCTCTTGCAGAGGACCCAGGTTCAGTTCCCAGCACCTACATGGCAGGTAACAACCACAGGTAACTACAGTTCCAGGGGATCCAACTCCCTCTTCTGACCTCTGTGGGTGCTGTTCAGATATGCAGGCAATACACTCATACACATAAAATAATAAATAAATTTTTTTTTGGTCTTTTTGAGATAGGGTCTCCCTGTAGCCCCAACTGGCCTAGAACTCACTATGTAGGCCAGACTGGCCTCGATCTCACATACCTGGTTAAATAAAATATTTTCTTAAAAAAAAACACTTTCAAAGTTCTGATATCATTAATTTGTTTAACATCTGTACAAATCTGAATATGACTTTTCTATAAAGGCAAACTTATCTATTACCAAATAATCATCACACTGAACATACTTTCGATTTTGTTTGTTTTGGACTTTTTGATACAGTGTCTTACTCTGTAGCTCAGGCCAGCCTACACTCACCAGGTAGCCCAGGCTGGTCCTGAACTCTATACCCTCTTTGTCTCTGTCTCCTGAGAACTTGGATTATAGGCATGTACCTCTACTACATCTGGCTCTGATCTACCCTTTTCATAGCATTAATAGTTCATTATATTAAAAAAGAAAAACTACCTGATAGACAAACCCCACAATTTGAATTTTGTTGAAAATTTTTAGAAAACAAAGAAGTTTTTCAAGAAATTTCTCAGCACTCAGGCTACCATACAGTGAAAATAATATTCATTTTAGGACGTAGTTCATTAACTTATTTGAATCAGACATCTTAAGTTCCCTTAATTATGTTCAGTGACTCCAAAAGCAAGGAAATACCTAAACAACCGCTGTGGACCAAACACGGATAAGCCAAAGGGGGACTCCTACGCATCTCTGTGCACGTATGAAAACGATACACCCTACAGACAGTAGTATTTCAGTTAAATATTTTATATTAAATGAAACAGTATTCTATTCATGCAATCAGTAAGACGTACACTTGAGCAGGATCATTCCCATTGGTGCTCACAAATTGTTCTTATTTCACTGCAAATTTAGGGCTAGCCTCTTCTGTCCGCTTTATCACAGATTTATCTCCACTAGACTGGGGCTGCCACAGTGGGAAAGCACTTAAATAAAAAGGAAACCGAAAGCGAGGGGATGCTACTGTAATGAACCAAGATGCTCCTGTGGGAAGGATCTTGTGAATTAGTAAGATGCTGGTCCAGAGCATAGAGCTAACTCTCAGTTACCTCTTCACTCAATAAGAACATTATTGCTGCACATCCTTCTGAGTGACAGATGTTGCCTAATGCAGTCGGGAAGCCTGCTGTGCTGGGCTGTGCGGTTAGGTTTCTCCTGCTCACTCAGGGGAGGGAACACCCTCTCAGAGCGCTGGATAATGCCACTCTTGCTAGTCATGCTTGGTGTGCAAACTCTTGTATTGGACTTAGCCAAGTCCACCTGTGTCCATGGGATCGGCAGGTGAGCCACACTCTTAATTGGTCTATGAGCATGGAGAGAAGTCCTTCACACTTGTCTAATGAGAATCATAGCTCTACAAATTGGCAGCTGGTTGTTGCTTGTGAAACCAACTGTAAACCACTGGAAGGCAAGTCTCATGTCTGATTAACTTTCGTGCCACTCACAGCACCTTCAACCAGTGCAAGCGAACAGACACCAAAAAGGAAATTGGGGTAGCTCATGTTTCTCTTCCCACATACACTCCCAAAAATGCCATCAAGGTGTTGAGCATAGAAATGATTATTGTTTCTTCCTAACATTTTCATAGTGTATGGGTATACTCAACATTTCATCTAAAGCTTAGCTGAATATTTTTAGGGTCTAGACTCTTTAAAGTCTTCAAGCTCCCTTGGACCCACTATATATATAGATATGTCAAAGAAACTAAGAAACCATGAATAAACATGAGAAATCAACCCACCGAGTTGTGGTCAATCCTAGTGTCATGACTTTCTGTCCAAAAGAAAGACAAAAGAGATTTTTAAAAAGAAGTAAATTGCATTTTACCTTTCTTTGCAGCTCATTCCCATGAGGTATCTAACAATTAAGACACCAGAATTATACTCAACAAAATGTGACAACCTCACAACTATTAAATGCAAAAGAAAGTCTTCATAAGACTTACCTTTTCAAGTCAATTTTTATTGTACAGAGTATAAATTTCAATATAAAAAACCCGACAACACAAACTTTAATTGGGTAATCACTAAAATTGCCATGAATTCACATTCTATGGCTTTTAATAAACAGGTTCCAAAATGGACGTGAAGGGATGAACTCATTGAGACGAGTTATCCACTGTTTTTGTAGAACTTTGGGGCTCCAAAAGACTTCAGTTTTAAATACATAGGAGAAACTGAGGCACAGACTAAGTGACTTCCTCAGTTCTAGTATCCAGTAGGCAAGAAGACAGAGGTTTGCTGAGCAGTTTCACAGACCCTGTCTCTAAGGGAATCTCCTTCACTGTCTGCACAGCACACATTCCAGGATTATTTCTAAACCCAAACTGCTCCCATCATTGTCAGAAAATAACCTCGCCTTTGCATTAGGGATGTGGACCAGGTCATTTAGCACACTGTTCTTTCTTAATCAGTTTATCTTAATCTACATTCCTCTCTCCCTTGCCCTCTGCCTTCAGAGTCCTCCCTTCTCCAGACCACCACTCTGCTCTCTCCACCACACTTCTGTCAAATATCTTCCTTCTGAATGTCTCATCTTTCCAGTCACAACTACCTTCCTTCCCTTCTCAACTTAAAAAAAAAAAATCACAGATCTCTCTCCCTCACTCACAAAATTGCCCTTGATGCCCACATCTAATTCTACCATTGTCTTTGTTTTATCATCAAATTTCTTGGGAAAGTAATTTTATGTCCCTCCTTTTTATTCTTTGCTTCCTTTTGATCAGGCCAATGTTTGTTCTGTCGAGCTGAAAATATTCTCTGGAAAAACAGTGAAAACTGTCCAATTTGCTCAATAGTCACACAGCCCAGGTTTTTTTTTTTTTTTTTTTTTAAGACCATCTGATTCTGTCCTTTGGTTTCCCTTCTTTGAAATCTATAATGCACTGTATTTTTTTCTCCTATTTGTATGGCACACTTCCCTCCCTCCCTCCCTCCCTCCTTCCTGTCTTCTTTCCCTTTCCTTAACCCCTTCTTCCTTCCTCCCTCTTTCCTGCCTCTCTCCTTTTGTCTCTCACACCCTCCTTCATCCCTTCCTTTCTCTCTCTCTCTCTCTCTCTCTCTCTCTCTCTCTCTCTCTCTCTC